GGGGGGGGGAATCCCAAACAAATAATAACCCAAAGCAAGTTGAGGTAGTAATCTTAATATCAGAAAAGGTAGGCATAAAGACAAAAATCTATCAGAAAAGACAAAGATGGACATTTTAGCTTGACAAAAGATTCTATTCATCAAGAAGATTTAACAATCATAAATATATATGCAACTAACAGTGGAATGCCTAAGTGTAATGCAGACACCAATAAAACTGAAAGGAGAAAAATATAGCATTACAATTCACCACTTTCAATATTAGACAGAATATCTAGAAAGAAAATTAACAAGACACTAGCACCTGGATGGCACTATTAACCAACTTGACTTAACAGACAGAGATATCGAACCTTCCACCCAACAAGTACACAATATAAATTCTACTCCAGTGCATATAGATTATTTTCCAGACTAGACCACATGTTAGTTTACAAAGCAAGCCTTATTCCATGAGGCACACCTTCTTGACACAATAGCTGAAGATAAATATGTGCATAAGCAATGTGGTGAAGAAATTTGATGGTGCCGCACTATCAAAGGACAGAGCATCTGGGGTCTTAAAGGCTTGAAGGTAATCAAGCGGCCATCTAGCTCAGAAACAACAAAGCCCACTTGGAAGAAGCACACCAGCCTGTGTGATTATGAGGTGTTGAAGGGATCAGGTATCAAGCATCATCAGAACAAAAAATCATATCATTGTAAATGAGGGAGAGTGCAGATTGGGGACCTAAAGCCATCTGTAGGCAACTGGACACCCCCTTACAGAAGGGTCACAGGGAGGAAACAAGCCAGTCACGGTGCAGTGTAGCAATTATGAAACATACAACCTTCCTCTAGTTTCTTAAATGCTTCCTCCCCGCACTATCATGATCCCAATTCTACCTTACAAATCTGGCTATACCAGAGGATGTATACTGGTACAGATAGGAACTGGAAACACAGGGAATTCAGGACAGATGATACCTTCAGGACCAGTGGTGAGAGTGGCAATACCAGAGGGTGAAGGGAAGGTGGGGTAGAAAGGGGGAACCGACTACAAGGATCTACATATAACCTCCTCCTTGGGGGACGGACAGGAGGGAACTGGGAGAAGGGAGACATCAGACAGTGTAATATATGACAAAATAATAATAATTTATAAATTATCAAGTGTTCATGAGGGAGAGGGAAGCAGGGAGGGAGGGGAAAAATGAGGAATTGACACCAAGGGCTCAAGTAGAAAGCAAATATTTTGAGAATGATAATGGCAACAAATGTACAAATGTGCTTGACACAATGGATTTATGTATGAATTGTGCTAAGAGTTGTATGAGCCCCAATAACATTATTTAAAAAAATAAAACAAAAGCTAGCTTAGATAAAACAAAACAACAAAGCCAGCCTTGATAACATATAAAAGATTGAAACCATACAATGTATTTTCTCTGACCACAATAAACTGAAGCTAGAAATGATCATTGAAAAAACCTAGAAAATACAAACGTGGAAATTAATAATTTCCTATTAAACTATAAATAGGTCAAAGAAGAAACCAAAAGGAAAATTATAAATATTGTACAGTCAGATGACAACGAAAGCATAGCATAACACAAGTTTGGATACATAAAATAAAAGTGAATTAAAAAATAAGTACCAGGCTCATTTCATTTGGACTGGAAGAACTATATGTAATTATAAAATAAAAAGCAGTAAGAATATAAGGAAGCTCAGAGAGAAACATATCAGTAAATGCCTATATGGAAACAAAAATAAAAAATACCCTCAACCTATTGCCACTGAGTTGATCTGAATTTAAAGGGACCCTATAGCTCAGGGTACAACTGTCCTCTTAGAGTTTCAGGGACTTTCATTTTCTTTTTCTTTTTTTTTCTTAGTTTTTACCAAAATGTATTACTACGGGGTCATGTCTGGTTTTCTTCACGAACGTGAGGTCTTCAGGGCTCAGTCCCATGGTCGCAGCGTTGGTCATGGGATGAAAGAACACCTTTTTGTGTCCACCTTCCAGAAAGGCAGAATCCAGAACAAATTTCGCCTCTCCACTGTTGCAGAAGAGCATCAGTGGGGTGGCCCAGCCTTGGCCAACTTTCAGTTTCTCCAGCGTGGCCACTTCATCGCCAAACCTCAGATTTCTACTCCCAACACCTAACTTCTTTGCAAGATAATTTAAATTAACTTGTCTGTCATGAAGAACTGTCACCAGCCAGTAGCGTTTTTTCTTTTTGTCTTTGAGAAATAAGTTCTTACTGTGTGTGCCTTTCAAATGTTGGATGTGAGGCGTCATTTCTTTGACTGTGAACACCTGTGCATCTGGTGTTGCCAGATTTTCGATGTTTGTTGTTGTTTTTTTAAACAGTATCCAGATGATTTCTGTGTCAGTGGTCAACCCAAGTTTTCAGTTTAAAACATGAAAACAGTTTTCATTTTAAAACAGTGGTTAGCCCTGTGTGGGATGAACAAAACACCTGGGGTTCTGCTGGAGTCTTCTGTTGGTCACCTCCACCACAAGGGCCACTTTTCTTTTTTTTTAAAGTTTTATTGGCACTTCATCCACATATCATAAAATTCAATAGTTCAATCATATCAAGAAGAAATGTATAATCATTACCAGAACCAATTTAGACCACTTTATTCTTCCTTGTACTCATTGTTATTTATGTAATTATTGTTTTTTAAATCATTTTATTAGGGGCTCATACAACTCTTATCACAATCTATACATACATTAATTGTGTAAAGCACATTTGTACACTCATTGCCCTCATCATTCTCAAAACATTTACTCTCCACTTAAGCCCCTGGCATCAGTTCCTCATTTTCCCCCTCCCTCCCTGCTCCTCCCTCCCTCATGAACCCTTGATAATTTATAAATTATTATTTTGTCATATCTTACACTGTCCGACGTCTCCCTTCACCCACTTTTCTGTTCTCCATCCCCCAGGGAGGAGGTTATACGTAGATCCTTGTAATTGGTTCCCCCTTTCCACCCCACCCTCCCAGTATCGCCACTCACACCACTGGTTCTTAAGGGATCATCCGCCCTGGATTCCCTGGATTTCCAGTTCCTATCTGTACCGGTGTACCTTCTCTGGTCTAGCCAGATTTGTAAGGTAGAATTGGGATCATGATAGTGGGGATGGGGAGGAAGCTTTAGGAACTAGAGGAAAGTTTTATGTTTCATTGTTGCTACATCACACAATGACTGGCTCATCTCCTTCCCAAGACCCTTCTCTAAGGGGATGTCCAGTTGCTTATAGATGGGCTTTGGGTCTCCACTCGGCAACCCCCACCCCTCATTCACGATGATAGGATTTTTTTGTTCTGATGATGCCTGATACCTGATCCCTTCGACACCTCGTGTTCACAAAGGCTGGTGTGCTTCTTCTATGTGGCCTTTGTTGTTTCTGAGCTAAATGGCTGCTTGTTTACTTTCAAGGCTTTAAGATCCCAGATGCTATTTCTTTTGAAAACCGGTGCAAGTCACTTTTAACACCGCAAGCTCTCCTAGGGAATCCCTGAGAGATTTTAATCCTCTGTCATTTAGGTGATGTTCTGTAGTAAATTAAACAAGATACAGAGACCCTTTCTTACTTCTTGAAGAACTCAGACATGGGTACATCTGCCTGTTTCTGAGAACTCTGGAAAGATAGGGGGCACAAAGGGGAGCTTAAGACTCCTCACAAAGTGGTAGACTCGAAACCCAGATACACAATAGGTGTATGGCCTTGGGTAAAAGAATGAACAGTTCCTTGAAAATAATAATGATGTCTACTTTAAAATATTGGACTACAGGAAATGGCACAGAAAGCCCTTTCCAGAAAGCTCACCCATAACGATTATCGCTAGCCTTGCGGGAGCTCAGTCCCCGCACAAACTCTATGTATACTTTCCACCTAGTAACTACAAACGCACACACCCGTGCACTTCACCAGGTTAAACTGTATGAAACTAATAAAACAAATGTATATTTCTGTAACCTCTTCTGGAGGGTGGTGCTTATTTGAGATCAAACTAACCAGGAAGGCAAAATACCAGACTCGGAACCTCAGTGCCCGCGTCGGTATCCGGTTCAGAAAATGTAAGGTGTCTGACGCACTGTCGCCGCTCAAGTGAAAGACTATTCCGCCAGTGCCCTCAACCTGGCCCATGTCCCACTCCAGGTTCTTTGCCACGTGTCGCACTAGTTCTCGACGTGCAATGCCACCAAAGCAAGAAGCAACCGTGAGTTTTTGCTCAGTGAGTTCACAATCCTGAATTGTCCCTGTTGGGTGGCCCTTCATACTCCGGAACCCATGGTGTGCCCTAGAGCCTCACCTTAGGGTGCTCCACGACCTCCTTGCTCCAGCGCTGCCCCCAAGCCAGCGCCTGCCAGGCTGCTGCCTTCGTTGCAGGCGGCTAGGTCCTCCGGGGGCGTGGGCGGAAGTCGAGACTTTAAGTCTTAGTGGAAGCAGACAGCCTCATATTTCTCCCGTGAAACACTTGATGAGTTTGAACCACAGACCCTGTGGTTAGCAGCCCAGTGCCTAGTCCACAGCACTACCAGGGCTCCTAACTCAACAACTCCAGGAACTGTTTCTTCCTACTCCAACGCTTAGTACCTAGCATTTTACAAGTGTGCGAGTAGCTGTCCATGGTGCAACAAGTAGTTTCTATTTACCTGGAGTAACACTGGAAGGAGAGCCAGGAATGGGAAGAGGACTTTGGAATGCTTCCATGAGACTTGAACAACTGGATAGTGCCCTGCTATCATAATTGAACATTTTGCTTAACAAGTCCATAGAAGAGGTGATCAAAGGGAGAAATTTTAGAATAGAATTTCACATTTTTAACAACTCCAGATTTTCTGGTGCCATGGAAGTGGTCAAACCGTGAAGTTATCACTCTGAGATAATCTTTAAGCCTTAAACCAAAAACCAAAAAGAAGTCATCTTAAAGCCAAAAAACAGTTTAGCTTAACTTGTTTTTAAAAAAATGCAAGCCTTGAGTATTATGCTCTTTTAAAAACTATCTAGATGAAATAAAATTGATAACTGTAACTGAAAAGATTAGATTGTAAACTTATGGGATAGTGAGTTTATGGTAATGGAGGAAGATCAACTCAGAAAGAGAAAGATGAGAATGGTTGCACAACCTGAAACTATAATCAATATCACTGAATTATACAAGTGGAAACGGCTAAATTTGGCATATGTTTTGCTATATATATGTATTCTCAACCACAACAGAAGTAAATTTAGGACCAAAAAAAAATTCACAGAATATGCATGTTATTTATAAATCTAGGAGTAAATGCCAGAAATAGCCCAAATGTTGAAAGTTGTCTCAGGAAAGCAGCGTGTGTGTTGTGGAAGAAGTGAGTCATGGTGGTCGATTCCTTTTGCCACAAGTCTTTTAATTCTATTTTGGCTTAAACTATGTATATATAGTACTTTGATGGAAAAAAAAGTGAATTAAAATAGATACTGGGCTCATTTGATTAAATAAAAAGCAGTATAAAATACTTAAAATTAAATATAGTTTTTTCGTCTCTTTTTGGGAGAACTAAAAAAACTCAGTCATCAAGTTGATTCCAACTTATGGCGACCCTGCAGAAAGAGTATAACAGTCCCTGTGAGTTTCTGAGACTGTAAACCTTTACAAGAGTAGAAAGCTCCACTTTTTCCCATAGAGAGCTTTCAAGCTGTTGACCTTGGGCTTAGCAATGCAACACATAGCAATAAGCCCTCAGAGTTCCTTCCTTTATGTGAGGGACTTCCCTAAAGTTTTACAATTCAAAACTTTACTTTTGAAAATGGGAAAGTAAAAATTCACAATTGGAACTAACTTGAAGCTAACAGGACAGGAGTTTTGCTCCTACATCAATAAGTGGTGATTTCATAATGTAATTATTAAAGAATAATGATGAAACTGAAAAAAAATCTCATGATATGGAAGGATTTGGAGAACATTATGATAAATGAAGTTAATCAAATACAGAAGGACAAATATTTTCTAAGACCACTGTTACATAAAAAAATAAGATAAAGGTTATTATACCAAAAGAAACAGACTTTGCTGTTTACCAGGGGTGAGAGAGGAAGGGAGAGAAAGGTAAGTCATAGGGTAGAAGCTACTCAAGTGTCAACTTGATGAAGGGGAAGGTACTGTCTGACAAAGGGAGGTGAAATCAAAAAGTGGGGAAGACAAGTTAATGGGGGGGGGGGGTGTTGAAACAGTGAAAGTTCCAGAATACAAAAATGATGATCTGATACATAAATTCACAATCAAATGTTTTTTAAATAAACAAAAGCATCACATCTTAAATAAATAAATGGTGGTTGGAACTCTGCTAGAACAAGCTGTCTAGAATAGCTAGCCTCCCATAGCCAACTTCCAAATTGATTGGGCAAAGACCTACCTACCTCCCTGAAGATGAAAATATATGCGCTTTTCTAAACCACTGGGATTGCTGGCCTTCAGATTGGCAGGACAAACCAATCCCAACCTGAAGAGAATACTTTGTTCTTCCTAACCATTCTTAATTTTAGCTCTAATTTGAGAGTTCTCAATAGCTCACAAGAAGCCCTGGTGGTGTGTTGAGCTGCTAACCACAAGGTCAGCAAGCAGTTTCAAACCACCAGCTGCTCTGCAAGAGAAAGATGAAGCATTCTATAGCCACAAAGATGTATAGTCATGGAAACCTGCAGGGGCAGTTCTAATGTCTTAAATGGTTGCTATGAATTGAAATCCACTAGATGGCGGTGAGTTTGGTTCAGAAAAAGCTCACAGGTAATTTCAAACAGGTTTTAGCTTCCTATATTGGGTTACCTACAAGCACAGTTCGCTTCATATACATCCCTGGGGTGCTGACATTTCATGGAGAGTTGATCATTTCAAAGCATGAACAGATCTGAATAATAACTGATGAGAAGAGAAGTGAAGCTGGGAGAGGGGTGAAGGCACTGTTAACTAATTGGCATGAGAGGAAAATGGTGAAGTAATCTGACAAGAGAGAAGGTATTTATCAAGATGCCCTAAGTTGGCAGGAAAGAGCTGGAAAATTACTGCTAAGGGAGAAGTAGACCACAGTACAAAATCAGTCACCCAAAGCAGAGCATCTTTGAGCCCAGACCCAGGCACCTTGGCAGTGCATCCCTTGGACTGGTGTCACTCACGATGATAACACATGATGTTACTTCCCACCTTGGGCAGGACCAACCTATAATGCCCTGGTGGGCTGAATGCCTAGGCAGGCTTAGGTCTGAGCACTATGGCATGCAGCCCAAAGCTCTCATCCCCTCAAGTCCAAACCGGCCACATGTAGCTCCCTTTTACAATTAGCGAAAGCAGAGACTTTCCTCTCTGCCTACCTCCCTCTTCACTGACAGGGAGAGAGAGGAGTGAGTGATAAGTTTCCATACTGGCTAAAAATGAGCCAACCCTAGTGATACCACTGTCTTGGAAGTCTAACTCCTTATACATATGCACTTTTGGTAGACTCTGGAGTCATTTTGTTTGTGTTGTTTTTTTCACATTGAACTTTGTTTTAATGGGCCTTAAAATTCTGTGGCAAAATTTTGGTCAAGGTGTTTTCCATTTAAAAAGCACTGATTTTAAAAACTAATAACTTAAAACTGCAACACAAAAAATATGGTCCACAAAACATTCCTTTCCTTCTGAAAGTTGTATGATGCATGGTTGTCATTAACCAGTCTTTTATTTTTAAACTGAAAAGGCCAATTGAGATCAACAGTTCTGAGTCCCGTCTTCCACCACTGATTAAGACTGGGTGGTAGGTGCAATGAGTAATATTCATTTAGCCTTGTGAGACTTCTTGGCAGATGTGGTGACTTTGCCAGCTGCCACAGCTTTTTTGTTTACTGCCTTGATGACGCCCACACAACTATTTGTCTTATGTCTTGATCAGCAAAACCACCCAGAGCAGGATAGTCAGAAAAGTTATCCCCACACATGGGCTTGCCAGGTATCATGTCAATGATGGCAGTATCACCTGACAAGAATTTGGAGCCATTTTCCAGCTTCTTGACAATTGGTGATCAATTTTCTTTGAGCTCAGCAAACTTGCAAGCAATGTGGGCACAGGTGCGTATCCAGCACTGATTTGACCTGGATGGTTCAGGATGATCACCTGAGCAGTGAAGCCTACTGCTTCCATTGCTGGGTCATTTTTGCTGTCACCAGCCACATTTCAACGGCGAACATCTTTGACAGAGACGTTCTTGACATTGAAGCCGACATTGTCCCCGAACAAAGCTTCATGGTGCATTTCAACACACTTCACTTCAGTAGTAATGTTGACTATAGCAAAGTTAAACACCATGTCAGGTTTCAGAACACCAGTTTTCACTCTGTCCACAGGGACAGGGCCAAAACTGCCAATTTTGTAGACATTGGAGGGGCAGGCACAGGAGCTTGTCAGTTGGGCAAGTTGGTGGCAGGATTCAATCCAGAGTGTCAAGCAGTGTGGTTCCACTGGCATTGCAATCCTTACAGGTAACCTTCCATCGAAGGCATATTATCACTTGGCTTCAGCATGTTGTCATCATTCCAACCAGAAAATGGCACAAATGCTACTACATCAGGGTCATAGCTAATTTTTTTTCTTTTAAGTTTATTGTATCGTTAATCAAATTCAAATTGTTTCCAAAAGTTTTATTGGCATATAATTTACATATCATACAATTCAGTAGTTCAATCATTCAATCATAATAAGGAGAATTGTACAATCATCACCACATCAATTTTAGAGCATCACCCACCCCCATGGTTAAATCGGCTTTAAAATGAGTTGTGCAATCACAATCCATTCTAGTACTCCTTCCCCCCTCCCGTCTTCATTATTTACTCCTGAAATCCCTCCCTATCATCCAGCTCCCCACCCCTGTTTTCCCTTGTATCAGTTATTATCGTTATGCATCCACTCCTCCTGTGCCTCACAGCTGGGAGACCCAACAGAAAACAATAAAAAACAAAAGTGCACTTAGGTGGTAAGGATATAATCATAATAGTATAAAGACAAAAATACAAATAATGTGTAAGAAGGAAAAGGCCCCCATCAACATTCAAAAAGCCAAGGAAGAAATTTCTGTAATGGAACCAGTAAGAGATACTTGCCCCCAGAAGAGATTCCTATTGTGTCTATAGGGTGGTCAACTGATTAAGTATTGAGTTTGATTCAGTACAATCAAGATTACAATGGTCTCTGCCTGATAGTAAGGCTGTTTGAGACTCTTGCCTGTTGTAGCCAATTTTTCAAATGTAGGTGCTGATTCCTTACAATTTCCTCATATGTAGAGTGGTTCGATAGAATCCACTTTGTTAACACTAACAAATAGCTGTTTCACATCCAGTGTTTAGGCCAGAAGGGCATGCTCACGGGTCTGACCATTTTTGGAGACAACAGCTTCAAATTCACCAACACCAATGAAGGCAGCACAGTCAGACTGTGATGTTCCTGTCATCGTGTCTTTCCTAAAGTCTCTAGGTCTGGGGGCGTCAATGCTAGTCTCAAATTTCTACAGGGGGTTATCAATGGTGATACCAAGCAACTTATCCAAAGCCCAGGCATACATGAAGGACCCCGTCCCTATCTCAGCAGCTTCCTTCCCTGAAATTTTCGATAGTTCTTTTGTTGATCGCACCACATTTGTAGATCAGGTGACCAGTTGTGGTGGGCTTCCCAGAATCCATGTGTCCAATGACGACGACGATGATGATGATGATGATGATGATGATGATGATGATGATATGGGTCTTTCCTTTCCCATTTTGGCTTAGGTTTTTGTGATGGATTTCACTGACACCTGTATTCTGGTGGCTGAGTCCGGGATCATTTCAGTTCAAGCTGAAGATCTCTGGCAAGCATATGCATTAATAAGCAAGTCAAAATAAGCAAGCAGTTATTAAAGAAGACTGAAGTCACACAACCTTCATTTGCTGGCTGGCGAGGGGTAAGAAGGCTTGTACATGCTGAAAACCCATACAAGCTGAAAGCAAGCAAGCAGGCCGGGAAAGCTTGCCATGCAGGGAGCACAATCCCTAGCTAGGTGGAGCAAGAACCTGATTTAATTCCTTGTAGCTTAAAGATAACTGTTTAACAAATTAAAATGTCAGATCAGTTTCTGAGGATCTGGCCAATGATGGCAGACACAAGCAAAGGAATATTTATGAAACTCCAGGAAATGCTACAAATGACTTTTATCACTAGATTCAAACAACCGGGAAATCATGAGGCCCAGCAAAGGCTTACATCAAAAGAGGAGGGGAGTTAACTTTCTCCTTGCTACATTGTTCTACATTCACTCAAAATATGAACATGTGAACATATTAAAAATTGTAAGTAAAGAGTTCTCCCACTATCTAGACTTACAAGGGAAGGCTTCCTTACTACTTATGAACATGCATTTTAAGAATCAGTTAAGTAACTAAGAACTGAGAACAATTGGCAGAAATAACTGAACTACTTTCATCAGACACCAGATAAACTATCCAAGTTTTCCTTGAAAATAATTTTGCCATGAAATAAGAAAATGAATAGAAGGGGAAAGCCTGGAGAGGATTCCTTTTACTACAAAAGTCACTGAGAGGTACAGAATAAAGACTAACATACAGTTTCATCTTTTAAAAATTCTCCCAGCCTCACACATCATGCATACAGTGAAGAGAATGCTGAAAGCTATACCAGTTCCTGAGTGCTGCTGTTACCACCATTCATCACAAGGTGTACAAGCGCAGGGCCCGTTAGCTTACAGGATCTTCAGAATTCTGAATTATCCACTCAATTGCAGCCCACCCCTGGAGTAACAGAAAAGATTTCAATATGATATATAAGAAAATCAGCCCTTCTCATTTCAGACAGCAAGCTGTAGGTCTGTCATTTGAACTTCAGAATGAAAGCACTCGGTTGCAGCCTTTCCATAATAATTTTTTCACTAAAGCAGGCAGTTCCTAAACCTTAACAATAATATGGTAAGCATTTAGTGCCTGAAACACTCTCATTAGCAAATGAAAGTGGCACCTTCTCATCCTAGTGTAGTAAGTCTCTGTTCGAGTGAGTCGGATTAAAGGTTCACGATGGTGCTTCCTAACCTCAAGCTAGGAAATCCTAGCTCTGAGTCTGCCACGGGAGAGAACAAGAAGGCCAAAGGAAAGCCAGTGGTTTTCAAACAAGTTTCATAGACATAGATTCAAAGATACTTCAATGATCTCTTCAAGGTAAGGGGCTAGTGACCGAAAATAACTCCCTCCCCACGCCCTGTTTTACTCAGAGCAAGTCATCTGCGGGGTGACCTCACCATTTGCAACATTGCTATTGGACCACTATCACTGACATTTTTATGAGAATTATCTTCTAAATAGTAACTAAAGCTACAAAGAGTATTCCATTTGTTTCCTAGAAGGATGCAATAATTCTCAATCAAATCAACTTTTGAGATACAGGGAGATAAAATACAATCAATTTGGCCTGAGTTTATCATATATATCACCCCTGGAAGTGCTGTGGGTTATTCACTGGGCTGCTAAACAGAAGGTTTGTGGTTCAAACCCACTGGCCACTCCTAGGCAGAGAGATAAGGCAGTCTACTCCCATAAAGATGTACAGTTTCAGAAACCTCATATAAGGTTACGGTGACTTGAAATCAACTCAATGGCAGTGAGTTGAGGTTTTTTTTCTTATAAAAGGTCTGAGATGCTTTTGATCAGAGTAATCTCTTCTTCCTACTACTAAAACATAATTTTTATTATGCAAAGATGAGTAAGTTCTATCTCACTGCAAGAGGGATAGGGGATGGACAAAACTCACTGATATTTGCCTTTCACTGTTGTATAGCTCAACCCCGTGGTCTCTCTAACTTCTCTAAACTAAGCTAGGTTCCTCCCAAATCAGGATTTTTTCCTTAAAAAAATATTAATAAAGAAGATTGACTCTTTCTATATGTTACTAGACCCTTTTTTAATTAAAAAAGGACTAAACTTTATTGACAAACTGCTGCAGACATTTTGACATAAGTTTAAGCTACCTATTTAGGCAGACTTACACATGTAGCATTTAATCTTCCAAGAACAAAATGGGAGGAGAGTACAAATCCAATTAGGACTTTAACTTCTGCACAAAGTGGATTTTGATGCCTTTTTCACTCAGCTGCAGTGTCCCTTTTTAGATCATGCTAGTGTTGAGACATACTTCACTAGCTACCTTGAGAACAGTGCAATATTGACAGCCGTCAACTTAGGGAAGTCATCAGCTTTTGGCCCCCCCATGCCCAGCTGAACCTTTTATGGAGTGTAGAATCTCAAGTGGACTCAATACTTCGCCTTCTGTTTTTAAATACTGAAATTTAATCATTGGTATTGTTACTCAAAGACTGTTCCTTGTTATAAAGCTCTACAACAAATGCAATCCCAGTGGCCAACCCCCACACCCTCAAATCAATCTCTTCAAAACGTACTCGCCACCCTAAGTATCTCTCAACACTGTTATGTCTGGGGCTAGATTTCAAAACCCACATAAGGAAATAGCCAGTTTTACAAACCTAATTTTATTGTTTTTAAATCAGTTAATGTTAAAAATTGAATCAACTATTTAATTCATGAGGATCTTTCATATTAAAATTTAACCTTAAGCATTCAACCACCATGTGCTTTTAAAGGAAACATTTTTAGAGACGACTGAGCTCACTTTTACATGGTGGCACCTACTGCCATTAACGTTTGTGATTTTAAACCTTAAACAGCCCTGAATTTTGAAATGTAGCCTAGTTTGGGAGTCTGCAACTACAACTTTACGGGATGCCTCAAATCAAAACTAAGAAAGTCAACAAGCCTTAACTTCAGAACCTTTAAGCAAGCAATGTCATTTTTGAAACTGACAGGTTTGTGGCTTTTTTTTTTAAACTCAACTTTTATTTTAATTATAAAAGGTACATCAATAAGACATTGATGGACTTCCACTAATTTGTGATTAGAGAAGAAAGGGGAGTATATTGTCCCACTTGTCCTAAAAATAAAGAGTCACATCTGACAAGATTTTAAAAAATGCATCAGGAGAGGAAGGAAAGGGAAGAGTTAGGCATAGTGGTCTATGGGAATATAGATAGTGTTACCAGAATTAGGTTCTTGTTTACCAAAAGAAATATAGGGCATTGCAAGATAATTCTAATGACTGGCCTCTCCTCTAAATGTACATCAAACATTCTTAAAGGTTCCTGTGTGCATAAGATTCCCAAGAACTTCCATGGGGCAGCAAGGGGTTCTGAAAAATGTAGTCCTGAGACATTGTCTTTGGCTGTATATGCTCTATACAAATCTCCTTCTCCATCTTCGTGTCTTAGTAGGATAAGGCAGAGCAAAGGCTTTGCACTGCTTCGTGACATTACCTTGAACTTGGACATCTTCCGTAAGCATCTACACTCATGATTTCACCTCAAAGACGGGGAGGGGTTCCCTAAACAATTCCTAACACTCAGAGGTTGTGCCCACTGCTCCATGATAACTTCAGCAGAATGGGTGAACTAGAGATAGCATTATGCAAGCTTCCTCTCACGCCTATAAAGTTCACTCACAAATCCTGCCAGAATGGAGATAGAAAGATGGCAGTTGTCTCCAGAGAAACATCACAGAGATAATTTGGTCAAAGTCACTTATTGAACATCCCACTAAATATGAAACAATAAAAAATCAAGACTCTTCTGCACTACACTGTTAATCTAATGTTAGTTTTTTGATGCTTAGACCACATGTGTTTGTTTTGTTGAGCCTAGGATATTTCAGCTCTTTGAAGCAGTAGATGTTCCAGATTTACTCCATGCTTTCTCTACTAAGTAAAATGGTACAGAGCCTCCCTTTTCCCCCTTAGACCTAGGCCAACCTTACCATTGGTTTTGTATGTAGTTGTAGAAAAAAATGGTAGCATTAAAAACTCAGGTAAGGAAGGAAAGCCCAATATTCCGAAGGCTATCTGGAATTAAGAATTTCACCCACCAAATCTGGCACATAGTAACTAGAGCACAAACAGACCCCAGGAAATAGATGCATACCTTTTTCGCATTCGATGAAATGGTATTGGCCATTAAACTTTCTAAATAGCTGCCTAGGCCAATGCCCTTCACCATAATGATGGCTTCTTGGGTAAGCACAGTCCTGTCAAAGGAAAGTAAATACTAGAAACAGTTAAGTATGAAGTGGCCCTCACAGTTCAGAATGTCAAAGTTGAAGGCATAACTTACATTTCAGGATTCTCTGGATGTGGCGTGTACACCAACCTCTCATCAACTGACACCAAATGTGTGAGCGTGATCTTGAAAAATAAAAAATAATGGCATTAGTTCCTATTTCTCTTGCCTTTCTTCCCAAGCCATTTATCCATATGTTTCATCATAAATTGATATTTACTGGAGCCAAATAGAAGAAACAGTCAGGCTGAGGAGATACCATTTCATGAAGTCCAGATGTCTCTATTTGCTAGTATCACCTATTGTATTAGTTATCTGTTCTTAGGTGCCATTGAATTGCCTATGACCTATAGTGACCCTGTGCACAACAGAATGAAACACCACACAATCCTGCGCTGTCCTTAAAATTGTTCCTATGCCTGAGCCCACTGTTGCAGGCACAGTGTCAATCCATCTCCTTGAGGGCCTTGCTCCCCTGCACTGCCTCTCCACTTTACCAAGAATGATGTCCTTGCCCAGGAACTATTCTCTCCTGAGAATCTGTCCCAAATATGGAAGACAGAGTCTTTCCATCCTTGCTTCCAAGGAACATTCTGGCCATACCTCTAAGGCAGATGTGTTTGTCCTTTTAGCAGTCCGTGGCACTTTCAATTAATGGCCAACTTGTGCATGCATAGGAAGCAATAGAAAATATCATGGCCTGCATTATACACACTTTAGTCTTCTAGGTAACATCCTCGCTCTTCAATAGTTTAAAGATATCTCGTGCTGCAGATTTACCTAATGTAACATGTCTTTTGATCCCTTGACTGCTGCTTCTATGAGTATTGATTGTGGATCTCAGTAGGACAAAAACCTTGACAATTTACGCTTTTTCTCTATTTATCATGATGCTACCTACTGGTCCAGTTGTGAGGATTTTTTACATTGAGCTGTAATACATACTGAAGGCTGCAATCCTTGATCTTCATCAGCAAGTGCTTCAATTCCTTTTCCCTTTCAGTAAGCAAAGTTGTGTTATCTGCATATTGCAGGCTGTTAAAAAGCCTTCCTCAAATCCTGATGCCATATTCTTCTTCATATCAGCCAGTTTTTATGATTATTTTCTCAGCATATAGACTGAAAAAGTATGGGGACAGGATACAACCCTGTCATATACCTTTCCTGATTTTAAGTCATGCAGCATTCCCTTGTTCTGTTTGCACCACCTCTTCTAGATCCATGTACGTTCTGCTTCAGCACAATGAAGTGTTCTGGAATTCCCATTCTTCTCAAGGTTCGTTGAGAAGAATCTTGTTATCCAATATTGTCCACAGTCAAATGCCTTTTCAGAGTCAATGAAACGCAAGTAAACATTTTTTCTGGTATTCTCCTTCGAGCCAAAATCCGCCTGACATCAGCAATGAGTTCTCTTGTTCTACATCCTCTTTTGAATCATACCTGAACTTGAGGCATTAACAGTTCCCTGTTAATGACAAAAATCTGCTGGAATTGTTGTTGGAAGTTCTTCAGCAAAATTTGACTTGCGTGTGATATCAATGATATTGTTTTATAGCTTGAGCATTCTGTTGGGTCACCTTTCTTAGGAATGGGCACAAATATAGCTCTCTTCCAGTCAGTTGGCCAGGTAGCTGTCTTCAAAATTTCCTAGAAATGAAATGAATAGACAAGCAAGGGCTTCAAGCTTTCTGAAACATTTCAGCTTTCTGAAACATTTCAATGGCTAGTCCATAAATTCCTGCAGCCTTGCTTTTGGTTAATGCGTTCCGTGCAGTTTGAACTTCTCCTTTCATCACCACTGGTTCTTTCTCAAATGCTCCCTTCTGAAATAGTGGACTATCTACTAGTTCTTTTTGGTACGGAACTGCTTTCTAGTGCTGCTATAATAGAACTGCCCAAAGTAGGTATTTTATTTTCTCATTTTCTCAAAACTGAACTCACTGCCACTCAGTGAATTCTATTCAGATTGACACAAAACCAGTATAGAATTGATACTGTGAGTTTCTGAAGCTGTAAATTTTTACAGGGGTAGAAAATCTCATCTTTCTCCCACAGAGTGTCTCATTTCAAACTGATGACCTAATGGCTGGTAGCACAATGTGCAACCTTAAAATCCACTCAAGGCATCGTTTCTAAAGGAAAACTTGCTTAGTCAACTCTTAGAAGCGATCCTTATCTCTCTTCAGTTTCTGTTCCTCAGTTCCTTGGTGATCTCCACGGTGGCTTGATATCTGTCTTTTGCAATCACTTTTCCCACCTGTTAGCTTTACATGCTCTGATGAACTTAAAGATGAGCTGCCTAAATGACAAACTTGCTTCATTGTGTACACTTATAGATATCAACATGATGAAGGAACTTCGTACCTTTTGTGTTTTGTTTTCTCCCATATTGTTGGATGTTCAGACTAGCTTATTCTTAGCATACACCATCTGTTGCTCAGGCGTACATCACACAATATGGGAGAAAATAAAGCACAAAAGGTAAAAAATGAAATAAATACTGAAGACTTAACTGAAGAACAGTTATGGGAGAAACTTGGATTTTCCCACTAATGTGAATGTCTAAGTTTCTAAAGTATTTATGTATTAACCTGACTATACATACTGGAATCAGATTTAAATACTTATTTATACGTAAAAATGCACTGTTATCTACAACTTGTTTCCTACAGTAAAGAAAAATCTTCATTTGTGCCAAGTTTGAACAAAGAGAAAATTATCTTCATAGTAATGAAACTTAATAAAATGTTTCCTTGTATTTGTAATTGCTAGATACATATTTCTCTCCAGGGACCTTTTGCACCCATTTTTACTAATTTCTAATACTTACAGTTCAGAATTTGTTACTATTTACAGACACCATTGGAAAGTGGATATTAGATTATGATAGACAACATTTGCTTCCTTTAACAAAGATTAGCAATTTATATATGAAATAATATATTATCACTTGTCAAATCTTTGCACTTAATTTGGGGTTAAATACTTGAGTAACCTAAGTTAGAGCCATGGATGTACTGTGGTTTAATCCAAAGTACATTAAAAAAAACAATACCATGCCTTCTTTGATTTCCCATATTTTAAAAATCAAGTCTAGAATTAGGTTCATCAGTCATTCTTAATGTCTGGAAGTTAGATTTTATGATAAAGTTATGACAATTGCTATTAAATTTTCTTATGAAAAGTAGTGTCTTAGTTTTAAAAGTCGGTGGGTTATTCTCGAGGACTTCATTTCTGATTGTTATTTTTAGATAATTTTGAACCTAGGTTAATACATTTTACTTACAAAGGATCTCCTAAAGTTGTTCTATGAAAACCAGTTATTTTAAATGTGTTGATCTTGTACCTTTGATTGGTTAGCTTTAAAGTTAATTTAAGACGTTCACACTGCCAGTATTCCAGATTTGGTCAAATTACTTTTGTAAAAGGTCCAAGTAAAGTAAATTTCTAATGTGTGAGTGTACCTGAAATTTGTAATAAAATCAACTTCATATTTTTTTGAAAAGCAAATTTATTAATACAAAAATATTTTGAAGTATGCAAATAAAATCATATTTAGTTGTATGATTTATTGCTTTGTTGAACAGAAGAAAGAGGCATAAAAACATTTAGTCAATAAATAAATAAATTTCCTTCAATAAAGGGAATATTTAAATCTTTGAAGTCTGGCCTATTACAAAATCCTGAAATGTATAGTCATATTAAGATTATGAGTAATTTTTGTGGACTAAGGGCAAAAACCTAAGTTACTTTGGCATTATTTTCACATTTGAATGTGCATGCATATTATCAGTCCTGAGCAGGAGGACTGGGGTTATTGTCTGGGGGGAAATTATTGTAAAACTGTAACTTAAAAATATTTCAGGACAAAGTACAAAATTTGCATACAAACAATTCTATATACCTTAATGATTGTTGTTTAGGATTTGTAAAGCACATTATAGTGTGTTTGATTGCTGTTTTTACCACATTAATTATGACTCCACATTCAGATACGGTGATTTCTGTTTTAAGCATTGTGCAGTTGGTTCAGATCCACACTAACCTTATGTACAAAAGAACCAATACTGTCTGGTCTTAGACTATCTTCATAACTTTTGTTATGTTTGAGCCCATTGTTGCAGTCAATCCATCTCATTGAGGGGCTTCCTCTTTTCACTGAGCATATGCTTCACAAGCACAATGTCCTTTTCTAGGGTCTGGACCCTCCTGATAACATCTCCAAAGCACAGAAGCAATCTCATAATCTTCATTTCTAAGAAGCATTCTGGTTGTGATTCCTCCAAGACAGATGTCTTCTAGCAGTCCATGGTAATTTGAATATTTTTTTTCCAACACCATAGTAAAAGTGCATATAATACAGTACTTGATTGCAGTTGGTATTATGTGCGTCAGAGTTAGTTCTGGCTCATAATCCCCCCCCACCGCCCCATGCACGGCAGAATTAAAGACTGCCCAGTCTTGCCCCATTCTCAAAATTGTGGCTTTATTGGATTTCATTGTTGCAGCCACTGTATCATTTCATATCAAGGGTCTTCCTCTTTCTTACTGCCTTTTTACCAAGCATAAAGTCCATCTTCAGGAACTAGTTTCTCCTTATAAAATGCCCAAGCCCAGGAGACAAAATCTGGCTGTTGTCACTCCTGAGCTTTATTTCTTCCAAGATAGATTTATTTGTTCTTCTGGCAGTCTATTGGATATTTACTATTCTCAACAAATACCATAATTCAAAGGAATCAATTTAGCTTGTTCATATGCAGACGTTTCATGCATTAGAAGTGATTGAAAAGACCATGGGTTGGGTCAGTTGTATCTCAGTTCTCAAAATGACCTCTTTGCCGTTGTATGAGCCCCTAATAAAATGATTTTTTTAAATGACCTCTTGGCTCTTTTACACTTTACAGAGGCCTTTTCCAGCACATTTGTGAAACATACTGAACTTATTTCTTTTTTTTAAATTATTTTATTGAGGGCTCGTACAATTCTTATCACAGTCCATACATACATCCATTGAGTCAAGCACATATGTACATTTGTTGCCCTCACCGATCTCAAAATATTTGCCCTCTACTTTAGCCATTAATATCATTTGCTCATTTCCCCCTCCCTCCCCCAGCCCCCTCCTCATGAATCCTTCATAATTCATAAATTATTATAGTTTTGTCATAAGTTACACTGTCTGACATCTCCCTTTGCCCTTTTCTCTGCTGTCCATCCCCCAGGGAGGAGGCTAAACTTAGATTCTTGTAATTGGTTCCCCCATTCTACCCCACATTCCCTTCACCTTCCAGGCCTCGCCCCTCTCATTACTGGTCCTGAAGGAGTCATCTATCCTAGATTCCCTGTGTTTCAAGTTGCTATCTGTACCAATGTACATCATCTGGTCTAATCAGATTTTCAAGGCAGAATTGGGATCATGATATTGGGGGAAGGAAGCATTTAAGAACAGAGCAAAGTTATATGTTTCATCGTTGCTACCCTGCACCCTGATTAGCTCGTCTCCTCCTCCAAACCCCTCAGCAGGGGGGTGTTCAGTTGCCAACCGATGGGCTCTGAGTCTCCACTCTGCACTCACCCACCTTTACAATGACATGATTTCTTGTTCCTTGATGCCTGACACGCGATCCCTTCGACAGCGCGTGG